AACCCAAATCAAGTCAAAGTTGCTCCAGACCTATAGCTGCTACTGCTGCCATCAACGAATAGCAAGAAATACTCACTTTCAACATCGTGATTCATTATACATAACGAGTCTAAATAAACCAAGCATAATCAATGTTGCATGGACAATCCTCATGCTCACCAAATAAGGCAACAAAGCCCAACAGAGTATCAGCTCAATAAACCATAAAATGAAACTAAACAATAAGCAGCATCCAATCATATCAGCATAAGCATGTAAACAACAATCAACTAAGCTCCGGCCTCCTGCTGCCCGAGGTACCTGAACTTGAAAATGTGCCCTAAATATGGGGTGAGATCTCAAAAAAGAAATCTCAGTAAGACAAGCGGTCCTCAAGGATCTCTCCACCCCAAGCTCACTTACATGTGCAATATAAGTTCCAAAATCTGTGCAATGCAGCATATAATCATGTCATGTGTGTCAAGAATCCTATTGGCCAAAGAATAAACATGCAGGATTTGCATACGTCTACAACCTACAGTACAAGACGCCACTTGTACCTCACCCACAAAATCACCATATTGTATTATGCTACATACTCAGGCTTACCGTCTAGGTGGAACAACACATACATGTCATAAGGCACTTGCACTTAACAGCTCAAAAGCATTTCAATAAACATCATTTCATGAAAACACATCATGCATATAAACCATCCCTCCATGGGGTACGGTGGAACCAACAATGGACAAAACCGAGGACACGAAAGCTTACCTCTCAAGCTAACTATCCAACACAAGAGTCCAACTCAGTCCAATGTCCACAAACAGCACTCTCACAGTCTGTTTATACCAACAATCATATCAATATTCATAATCTAATAGTTCATGACAATACGACAATGTTTTCCTTTTACGTTTTATGCCATTAAGCTTCTCACAAAGCCACAAGCCCTTAATCTAAGTGATTCTGACTTAGTTTAATTATTACAGGGGTTCAACTCTACCAATAATGGGTCCACAAACCCAAAATACCATTCTGTATGAACAGAACAGTGACCATCTCGAAATTCCCAGAATATTCGGATATATGTCAGGGCCATATCTGGATATCCATATCCGGATATCTTAAATCCCATATCCGGATATCAATATTCGGATATCATATCCGGATATTTCGCGACAGCATGCAGTTTCTGCATTTCGCGAGATATCACTCAAAAGGTTGCTCTTTTAATGATTTTAGAAGCTCAAACATACATTTTTAGGTGTGTTTAACCTTACCCACCCTTAAGTTATTAACTTTAGCTTGTTACATGCATCAAAGTTCATTCTTTCCAAAGAAAACTCAAGAACAAAGGTCGTGAATCTTACCCCAAGGCTTAAAACAGAAGCAAATGGTGCTCTTGGAGCTCACCAATCAGCCACACAACACTGACTTCATAAGGCCACGAATTTGCCTTGCAAGCTTGGTCCTTTAACAACAATGGTAGCTTCTTGAAGCTCAAAATGCCATCACAATGGCTCCCACAACTCCCACCAAGAAGTCAGCCCCCCAACCCTCACTCAACTAACACTCAACTCAGAAATGGAGCACCTTACACTCTCTCAAGTCTTATGCACACTCACACATGGAGATTTAGGGAAGAAACAAAGAGGAAAGGTGATCTCTTGGCTCACAAGGTGAAGAGGAAGAGGGTGACAAGCATGGAAAGCTCAAGGTTCAGAAGAGAGGCACGTAGAGTGTGAGATTTTTGACCTAGAAATATGTGCCATTAAGTATATATAGGCGTATTAAGATTAATCACACTGTGTTAGCACTAATGGCTACGTTTATCATTTTAATCCCAAGCTTTGGATTCACAACCTAGCCATTTTCCTAAGATTTGTCATATTTTTATTTTATTTTTCGCAGCACTTTGCCGGTACGCGCTTTTACGTAGCCGGTGTCAGTCCTGACACCAGTTCTCATTATTTTGACTTGAAACTTGTTATACCAGTCCTATATATTATTCTAGAAATATTCACGCACTTATTATAATTTTTTGGAATATTTCATCGGTACACAATTATACAGTGGAGCAGAACCGGTATTTGCAGTTTTCGTCAGAAAAGCGACTTTCAACATTATTAATCCCTTATATTAATTATTCTTACGTTACCATAATTATTTAAGATCAATTATGAAATTATTCACTTAAGCTCATAATTAATTAATTAAATTCCTAATTTAACGGTGCGGGTTCTTACAACCACATTTATCACTGGCAACAAAGTTATTCTAATAATGTAATGCATTTGTTTAATTTCAAAACTATGAAATTTTATAATAAATATGTACCGTAGAGTTATGTGCATAGAGCACAAAAACCCAAGGGGCAATCCAAATGCAGGAAGATGGAGAGAAAATTATTTATTTGTGTATGTATACATATACATGATTGAATAACAAGGAAAAAAAATCAAATTGAGCCTCCAATGAAAAATTACCCAACACAAAATTTTCTATCTGAATAAAAATCTAAACTATGAGGTTAAAATAATCATAGCAGCTATGGAAGCAACATATAGGTCAGTCTCAAGAACACTCCACCAATGCTTCTAATTCCTTGACTATTTGATCTACAACATGCACGATCATCTTCTTTATCTGTTTCATTAAAAATCATCCACCATAAACAAACATAAAATAAGAAAATGTTGGCTAACATCACAATTTCATGTACAACTTAAGTAGGTTGAAGCTAAGGAAGAGAGGAGGATAAAAGTAGATAAGGAAATATGTTATAGAAGAAAATCACCTCTAGCTTATCTTCCCTCGCCTTGTGATTCCTAGGAAGACGAAGAAATTCATCCTTTAATCGCAAGCACATATGAATATTCTCAAGAGACACAAAATCTGAAGCAACTTTAGTGCATGACTGCAAGATTTCCATTATTGTAATTAGAGTTAAAGGGGTACAATAAATAAAAATGTGATAATGAGGCAATCCAATATGTGTCAAACAGAAGATTTACCTTGAGATTCCTAACTTGGTGTGGACATCCAGCAGGAATAAATACTGCCTCTCCAAGTTTCTGCTCAAACGTCCAAGGTTCTACACCTGAAAGTTAAGATTTGGGTAAATAACTAATTGTAGGTATTGCCCAAGTTGTTTGCAATTCTATGAACTAACTACTAACCAAATTCTTCCTTCAGCTTCTTATTGTGCTCCAAAGTCAAATAAAAACATTGGTCATGAATTGGATGGACAACCTAACCAGAATAGAAATTTATGAACACCAAAGCATAAGAAGCAAGGATAAGCACAAATATAAGACAAATATAACAATACCTTTTGAACTGGACAGCAATAAGTATGTCTAAATTATTTAGAATGTTTTCGTAGATATGCTTCTAACTTTTCAGTATCCTCCCTCCGAAAGATGTCCCAAATAGCACCACCTGTTTCTGTTGTTTCTTTAGAGATAACAGGCACATCATTTGGAAATATCTTTCCATTGACTTTAAGGCACTTCTTCTCGCATTCAGTAACCTGAGCATGACACTTTTTCTCATCTTGGGCCTTGTGTGCTTTCTTTTATTTTGAAATAACAGGGTGCTGTTCATCAGTTAATGTAACCTCAGCTGTATGAGTCAAAATATTCACCTGTGGAAATTATTGAACAAGAAATTAGAAATAAAAATTGAAGTAAATGTGCTAGCATTTGATACCTGACACAAAATATAGAGGAAATTTCTAAAGATGGAAATATATTATCGTTATTAAAAGAGCATAATATTTGCATTTTGCAAAAAAAAAAAATTCCTTAAATTAATTAGAAGTTTCATCCATTCTCTAAGAACATAATATAATCATTTGCCATCTTACAATATGGTTACCCATATTAACAAACTATAAATTCCAAGTTTCAACCATATAAAAACAACAATTTAAACTACGGAAAGTGAAGCTATAATTTCTGCAACCGAAGGAATGACTCAAATTCAACAAAGAACAAACAAGAATAATTAAAAAATTATTTAAGAAGCACCAGCATAACATGAAGAAAACTAGGATTCTGAATTCAATGCACAAATATAAAGTAGTTTCTAACAAAGCTTTAAATAATAGAAATTATATGTTACAAGGTATCATACCGCATCAGACATATCACAGTGAAGATTTGTTACGGAGTCCCCTCTGCCAAGTTCTTCTTTAGTCCTATATGCAATATAGGTTTTAGGACCCACGTCAGGCTTAAATCAGAGATAATGGATTAACATGAGATAATGGATTAACATCTGAATATTATAATATAGGTTATCTATTTATCAGTCATTCAATGATTCAAACACCAACTTGACAATCTTACATAGTAACTTAAATCCAAATAACATGTATTGTGTATGTGTGTATAGAATATGAATTCATTAACTATGCATACATACTACCAGCATAAGTTCACTACCACATTCATAAGCATGACATAGGAAACTGAGAATCAAAGTAATCTAGCCATACATAAAGCAAATAACCCAAATTCTGAAAAACCAATATATAATTCAGTGTTGATATAATGTATTACGAAATCAATAAGACGATGTTGATATATATATATATATATATATATGTATGCATATATATATATAAAATTTCTTCATTGGTTATCTCAAGTTCTTTTCGACCTTTTAAATCAAGCCAAAATAGAAGAACCAGATGAGTTGACTCGAGTCAACTCAAAAAACGTGAAAAATATTTATTTTTTCATAAAGAAAAAAAGAAGAAGAGGAATTTCAATTGTTGTATTCATGTGTAGGCATGAAATTTTTTCCAGAAATTGAAACTTTTTAATATTTCTTCATTCTTGAATGGCAGAGAACAAAAAATAATATAATAACCAAAACGAGGATTTTAGAACATTGTATACAAAAACAAAAGAAAAGGAGTGAGAACAGATGAAAATAAATTGGAGCCAACCTGATTATTCAACAGTGTTACGTTAAGGATTCAATGATCAGTTTCAACTTTCAAGAAAAGAATGAATGGCACAAGGACTGAGATTGCAAATAGCAATGTAGAATCTACTGATATGAGAGTTTCTGAAGCTACTATAATGGGTGAGAGAGAGATTTTAAGGTACAAAATAGAGATATCAGAAAAAAAAAAAAGGTGAGTCATCTAAATTTACCTCGAAAAGGGTTCAGTCCAATCAGCAATAAATGCCTTTCTGTTTTGCCTCTTTTGAAATTTTAATGATACGATGTGTTTTTTTTTTTAGATTTTTTTTATGATAAGAAACAAAAAACCTTCCTTCTGGAGTTCCTGATATGCACAGAGTTGACCGTGCGTTTAGGGAGTCAACGAATTTGACCCAGAGATGACCTTTTATTTCCTATTTCGTTCAAGGGAAATCCTAATTTTGTTTGAATGGAAGGTAATCCTAATAAATTAAAGCCAAATCTCTAATTTGATTTATGATTGTGTTTCAAAAATTGGGAAGATTCTGATATGATAATATTTCCTGATTTGTAATTTTTGTCATTATTATTCGATAAGCGGTTATAAAAATTATATATCTCTTGGTAATTAATCATTATGATAATGAAAGCAATAAAAAGGAAAAAAAAATTAAAACATTATTATTTTAATAAAAAATTACGAAAATATTGATGTTTTGAATCATTTTACAAAAACACTCTCCCTCAAATAAAGCGAGTTTGTTCCCTCAAAATCGCCCAAAAAAGAAGAGACACGGCTGGCCTTTATAAATCTCATTTTTTTTTCACTTTTCATGTGACAATCTAATACATTATTTATATATTAATTTTAATCATACGAGGTAGAAATAGTATTATATAAATATCAATGCAATGCAAAATAGATTGTCACAAAACAAAAAAAGTCGGTGGTCCTTACTTTTAGAACAACGTGAAAACGTTATTAAAAAAAAAAAGGTTATTCAAAAAAAAAAAAACAACAACGTGAAAACTGAAAAGTCCACTAAGATAACCTATCAAATGTTGTTAAGATCGAGATCTTACCTAAAATCGACAAGAAGTAAAAAGATCAAATTGCAATATCGACATGAATAGTAAAATCGTATGTACATATAAAATATTAAAATTACATTAATATATAAAATCATATTATATTTTATATATATGTTAACAATTAATTCAAATATATACAATAACCATTATTCCAAATCATCATTTAATTAAAAATATGAAATTATAAAGAATAGTTTAATTATTATTACAAAAAAAAGAATTCTGCTAATTCCAATAAAAGAAAAATAATGAGATTGAAAGTCAAAATTTGTATTGGAATATTTTAAAAATAAAAAATAAGATTGAACAATGTTGTGTAGGTGTATGGTGGTCTGTTCGCATTCTTGTCTGAAGCTACACGTTTTCCTCTATATTCAAAAATGATCCTACGCGTCTTCCTCTCTACTTCAACTCTACTGTGTATCTGTTCTCTCTTTCCCTTAAAAAAAAAAAATCAACTTTATCTCTTCAAAGTTGATGATGACCTCTATTATCAATGTGAAAAAAAAATAGTAAATTTAAGATTCTCTCTCTCTCTCTCTCTGTGGATCTGAAGCTACAAGCCTGTCAATATGCTAATTAACTATAAAACTAATCTTTTAATTATAAGCCAGCAAAAAAAAAAGTTATATTAGCTTAGTGAGGTTAAGTTGCTACAGAAGCAATAGTAAATAACAAATATTGAGTCGCAATATTTTAATAAGTCAAACTATATTTTGATTGATTGTATCATTCTTTCCATTTGGGGTTCACTTGCTACTCAATGAATCGCAGTCAAAGTGACCAAAAAAACACTAATCATACCACGCTGCCATATACGACCAAACTATGAAAACAATAATTTGGAACCATATTGTTAAGAAAAAAAAAGGCGGAAACGATATAAACAAATTCAATTACTCATTAGTCTTATTGAATTGACTCAACCAGTAACAGTAGCATTGCATAATTATAACCGATACAGAGAGAGAAAGAAAGGAAAAAGAACCTTAATTTGGACAAAGCAAGAACGAGGGCGGCGCTGGAATAGAAAGATGATACGCAAAGGGGAGTCTCAGCCGGTGACGGTAGATGCGCTGACTTTCACTGAGTCTCACCAACGAAACGATTAAACATTGAAAATTTAGGAGCGCTGATTATATAATAAGACCTCTAGGCTGAAGCAAAATCAAAACCAAAATCTCAATTTAAGGATTCCAAATTGCATAAATAATATTCTGATAATATAATGGTATTTGATTACAATTTTAACGTCTGCTTTTAAAAAGTAACAAAATCAATATTTGTTTATCCTAATTATTTTGAAAAATAAACCATTAAAAGCTTTCCGGATTTATAAGATCTTGGTGAGAGAAGTCCGAATTCTAATAGAATTATTATAGATTGATATGTGGAAAATGGTGATAATATATTTTTATATAATTGTTATGCCTACGAGGATGTTTTGACTTTTGGGTGATTAATATTAGGAATTAATTTGATTTATGAATAAAATCTTTTATTCAAAAAGATTTGAAGAGGGAATTGATTCAATTTTGAGATTCTTTTAATTTAAAATCTATATTTTCAATAAAAAAAAATTGTTGCATAAAATTCGCTTAAATTTTATTAGATTTAACTGAATCTGATTTTATTTTAACTTTACATTAGGTATCTTAAATATGAGATTTGATATTTAAAGTAATTCAAGCTTTCATGGCAATGTGTGTGAATATGCTGAATTGAAGGCTTTCAGAATGTGTATGCTGGAATAGGTATTGGTAATAAGTAATAATTAAATGCATTGATAACCAACCAAGTCTTACCCTACTAGGTGGATTTGGTTACACGGATTGATTGACATTGTTGGGTTCTAGCAAAATCCGTATTTTCAATCTAACCCTGGAAGAAATATATTAGATAATTTTTAATTCTATTGTTATATCCTGGAATCAATCAGGATAAAAATACTACAATTTGAAAAAGATAAGAAAAAACTCACATTGAAGTGCCTTAATTTATTTAAATTCTTTGTTCACTTTTAATCTTATGGCTTAACGAAGGATTGTGTAATTGGGAATTCATATTGAAATGGTTAAAAGAGAATTTCCAAATGTGTATGGACAGGTAGAAGGAATAGAATTTAGGGTTGGTTCATGAAAATTTTCAATAAACAACGACATGATTCTGTAAATTTTTATTTTATTTTTGAGTAGGCCATGGTTCACTTAAATTGTCCTGTTGACCTTTTGCTTGTTGGTTATTGATAGAGAATGACTTTAAATAACTTGATGTATATTGTGCCTTGAACCTAGGTGGACTACAACATTAGATGAAGTTATAGTGTATCCTATTCCAACAGCACTTTACCTTGTCAAAAGTTTGCTTCAGGTTGGGGATGGATGGTTATGTTTGTTATGGTGACAATGGGATTATTCCATAACTTTGGTATTGCAACAGATATTTAATGCTTTCTGAAATCTGATTGTATTTACTTTTCAATTTTATGGCAGTATTACATCTTTGCATATGTAGACGCTCCAGGCTATCAGATATTACAGAACTTCAATATCATCAGTACAGGTGTCCTATACAGAATTATACTTAAGAAAAAGTAAGTCTTTTGTTCATTTCTTTTTCTTACAATATAAAATTGTTGCCTATTCTCCATTTTATGAGTACTCTATACAGAATTATACAGATTTTTTTATGGCTTTGAGAAATTAGACATTCCCCGGAAGAATACAACCAAATAATCGTTTTGCATTCGGAGAACCATATACATAAGGACCGATAGAAAATGAAGTGTATGTAGATAGGTTTTATTTTGGATATTGTTTGCTTGAAAGATAAAAGCCACTTTCCTCTTCGTGCATGTAAGAATTTGTGATTCCCAAGTCCCCTATAGGAAGAATTCTCAAACAGTTGAACAGGAAAATGGCAAGCTCTAATAAAAAGGTGAAAATATATAGAAAAATCTGCTTACTACTCCGTTGACATCCAAGATACTTGTAGTGGATGCTATGTGCCTTTTAGCTGTCAGAGAACACGCAGGGTATCTTACTCCTAGTGTTTTCTCTTGTTCTGATACATGATACTTGATAAACCTCTCAAGTGTGGTTACTTGCATCAGTTTGTCAAGGTCTACCATCCCAATTCTCTCAATATATACAGGTCTGCCATCTTTATCAACTCCGTGGTATTCATGAGGATAGTATTTCTTCACTTCTGTGTACTCCGTAAATTTGAACTCCTGATTAAGTACCAAAATGTGAATCCCATAAACAAATCAAATTCAACAGTAGTCAGTAGCATCATTATGTGAATACCATATACTGGCTTGAAAAATATAGAGTTATTATAAAAGTAGGGAGGTCACAAGATCTACAAAAAAAAAAATAGCTGTTAGCCATATCGTAGTTTTGTTCTTTACAACATTCAAATTTCCACATCAAGAAATATGTAGAAACCTTTAAAGTACATAAATTAATAAACACAACATATGATCATTATTCATTAGACATTTCATACTCCAAATATGTTTTGCTGGCATTAGTAATTTCCATATAACCATAATGATTGTTCTAGAGTAAGCATGTGAAGAACTGCTTGTTCAGAATTCATAATAGGTAACAGAGTATTCGTAAGATATTTAACCATCCATGGAGCTATGAAACTTTGTATATTTTGGATAGTCGTGACTAACAATAAGAATATTGTGACTTTAAAATGCTATGTAGACTTCATATAACTTTTGGGGTTAAATCACAATCATTAGCAACTCATTGGAAGATAAGGGATTGGTTACTTGGAGTTGTGCTAGAAGCCTTGAAAAATTATTTCTTGCACATTTAATTGCCTGTCACAGTTGCAGAATTTTCATGTTGTATTACAATCATATTGTATGTACTTACAATCATATTTCATGTTGTATCACAAACATTTATTTGTCTATTCTGTGTCAAGGTTTCTTTTAATATATATTGTCTCTCATCTCCTTCTCTGACTAGTTGAACCACCTTTTAGGGGCTCATCTAGGGCACCAAGATCAATCAAGAACAGGATAGTATCCTCAGATTCAAAAAACAAAGTCAATGGAAAAGCTGTTATGAAATCAAGATATGTATCCACTGCTACTGAATGCATGACTAGTTTGATTTCTCCAGATGGCTCATGCTTGGTCGAACCGAGAGCTGCTCGGGAATATCTTTTCAGAGAGCAAGAGTGCAGAGTAATAATCAGGATTGCCAATAGGAGCAATCTACTCTGACTAAGAGCAACCCTCTTCAACTATACGCAAGCGTACGTGTCAAGCAATATAGGGTATTGTAGCCCCAGATTTTTCGTCCTCAGGGAGCAGTTGTGAAGTAAGAAGCGCTAAAGGAAACTTAATTTGTAAAATGGAGCAATAAAAGAAAGTACTATTCTCAGCTAAGCTTCACAAAGAGCAATCTCTGGGCAGCTAGTTAAACAATGTTAACCATTCTGAACCAGATGAGAGCAATGAATGACTTAGCACGGTCATCGAATAAAAAGGCATCAATTTAAGTAACTTCAAGAGCAGTCAACGAAATGAAAGTAAGAGCATCAGCTGGTAAAACACAGTTCAGTTATCGTGAGGAAAAGGTTGTGATAGAAGTTTGATTTAAGATTAATTTCAGAAAGAAGTCAAGTAGGTGTTACGGGTTCCATGTTTTCATCCCTTTGGTTAACCCTGCTTGGTAGCATATTTTACAAGTGGATTTTGCTCCTTCCCATGTTTTGCTATAGGTAAGCAGAGGGTAAGGCCTTACTCTCCACGTTACTCCATAGTACTTGGAGTTATATGCAAGGAAACCATGCTGCCTTCTCAAAAGAGCATGGATTCACATGGCAGTGCTCCCCATTCCAGGTGTTTCTCCCTCCTTTCTTCAGGCTAAACTACCCCAGGATCTTGAGAATGCTCCACACGCCCTTGTCAGTGTTTCATCAACCGAGTGGTCCCGGGATGAGGTTGCCAGCCCAAAGGGTTTCACAAAATCAATAAATTAAACCAAAGAGCAACTCAAAATTCATTTATAAAATATGTGTTCCTTACAAAGTTATCCTAAGACAAAAGGGATTACTTCTATGGAACCCTCACCTACTTAGAGGAAGTTAGCTCCTAGTGAGCATTTTTACAAAAAGAAAACAAAAAGATGACGAGTCCTAGGATGGGCGCTGATGATGTTCTTTATGAGGATTGCTTGTTCCTTTTATAGGGTTCTTCATTTGATCTTCATTGTTCCTTTCATCAAGGGTCTTGCTTTGTTTAAATCCTCTCCAATGGTAGCTTTGCTTCTTGCCAGCTCAGATCCGAATAGAAATCCTCTCCAATGGTAGCCTTGCTTTTTGCCAGTTTGGCCTTAAATGGAAGTGGCCCCTCTTGCTTTTGGCTCCCTTTGTGAGTGGGAGTATCGGATTCAGGGAGACACCTCCACTCCTTCTGCTGCAGCTGATGTGGCGGCTTTTGATTACTCAGCTTCTTTGCTTTCGTACTGTAGCAGAGGTAGCACCTCCACCTTCTCTGCTGTGGCTGACGTGGCGGCTTCCCATTACTTCCTTTGACTGTTGTTGTACTACAGCAGGCTTTTTTCCTTTATGCGTAACACTCCTTCTTCTCTCTTCATTTTGTGGTTCCTTCTGATGGGCCTTAGGTGTCCTGAACAAAGCAAACTAACCCAATAGTCATATGAAAAAGATAATGTTAAATTTGCTCCAGGTCTACCTTAACTCCCACTTTCGGTATTGCTCTGGTCCACTATTCAAAACAGTTGCTCTATATGGAAAGAAGAAGGTTGAAGGGAGTGATTTATAACCAAAACATGGGTTTTGTGGAACAATTTACACTTAATGGGCCTCAACTCTTGAGGACCATCAACACCCCAAAACTAGATATTACTCGTCCCGAGTAATCCTTCACAACCAACAGTCTTCTTGTGGCAAGCTAATGCTCCTTGAGATTATCGATGAAGAGTTAACTTAACTCCTTCCATCGCTTCATTAGAGCACTCATCTGACTTGTGAGTTTCACTAGCTTCATTGTGTGTGTGACCTCTTCCATTCTTTTAGTCAGTTTCCCACAGAGTTGCTTCCGGATTGAACTTTTTGGCTTGATTTCTTCTCTTACTTCTTAGCTCCCTTCTCTATTTCTTTCTTTTCAGGTCTTTTAACTGGAAGTCAATTACCCTTGTCTTTGCATAAGGCTGACCTTCAACAACATGCTCTTTGAGCGGCTCTTGCTCTCACCTTGATGACTTGAGCTCTTTGAGCGAAATTTTTGGAGCAGAGGAGTTGACCATTATTATTTTTATTTTATTTTTCAAACCAGGGGCAGAGTAATTTATTTAAACAGCCTGAAGTTCTTTCCTTGGTAACTCAATAAGTCCACTGAATAACAGAGTGTCCGATTTTTGGAGTGCTGCTTTTTGTGCATGGTGTTGCTCCAAATCAGAGTGATGCCCTATGTTGCTTTGTTAGAAACTGTAAACTCTTTAGGGCATCTCAAGGAGCAAAATCCTGGGCAAAAAGAATCATTGAGTAGATCAGGACACTTAGGACGGTAAACTTAGCAAAAATTAAAAACAATATTTAAAAAAAAAAAGTAAAACAGCGTGGCGAATCCCTGGTACACCACAGAAGTCATTTATCTAAGAGCAAAGTCAGTAACATTCCACCACAAAACTTTCAGGCATTCATTCCAACAGATTTAAACAGGTTAAAAAGGATAGGGAACGAATGAACCTGGGGTCACCGTAGCGACCCTTAATGCTCTCCAGTTTCTTGTCTTGCTCCGCTAAACGGAGCATTTGTTATTGCTTCTGGAGGAAAGACATTTGGAAACGGTGGATATGGAGTTTGTCCCTTGAATTTTTCTCCCCAGTTACTGGCGAAGATTTGATCCTGAGCTCTGTAGTACAATCGGAGTTGAATTCCCTCCTCTTTGTTCTTCATCAATTCATCTTTCAAGAGCCCAATCTCCTCCTTCCAGTCTTTTCTATTTTTTTCGTGGGCTTGCTCCCTTTCTTCCGTTTTCTTGTTCATCATCTCTACTGCTTTCACCAGGTCTTTCACCGTGTTTTGCAAGGTTAAGGATCATTCTCCTTCCTCAATCTTCCTTTTCAGAGGCAGTGGTCCAGAATTTTTTATTTGGTCAAGTTCATTCTGCAGGGCCACCTTTTCTTTGTTAATGAGCAAGCTGGCTTCTTTCAGAGATTGCAGCTCCCTTCTAACTGTTTCTTCTAAGGCTTGCACTTGAGTGGCTAGAAGGTCTGCCCCGAGACCGAACATAGTTTGACATTGAGTCATGTCAGTTGTCTCGACTAGGAACTGCCTTCGTCCACTCTTTGCAGGAGCTCTCTTAAAGGGAAGTTTTTCCCTTCTTGGAGTTTTCTAAGGTTCTTCCTTCACATTGCCCGAAACTTCAGCTTCTTCTTCTTCTTCCTTTCCTTCTTTTTCTTCTTTCTCTTCTTTTTCTTCTTCCTCCTCACTTTCCAATCCTTCATTGTCTCTGATTCTTTTTATCATGGACTGATCAATGTCCGACCCTTCTGGAATGATTTCATCCGAAATCGGGATATTGACCTTTAGACCAGACCTCTTGCACATTTCAGTGACCAGACAAGGGAAAAAGAAGGGGGAGTTTCTTGGTGCATTTGCCACCAGTTGTTTGTAAACAATCCTCCAAACATCAAACTTCTTCTTAGTCAAGATGCAGAAGACCAGCACTGCTCTTTCCCAGTTTACTCTAGAGTCATTGCTCACGGGAATCAGAAGGGAGTTAATAAAATGCATCCATACCTTTGCTTCGAATTTGAGTTGCTTCCTAGGGATGGATTCCTTGGTTCCCCAGGTTGCTCCTTCTGAGCCTATTTCTCGGAGCACTTCTCCAGTTATGGCCTCATCTCCTCGGCCAGCACAATATCTATCAAACTCATCTTGTTCAGCAGAAACTGAAGCAGTGTTGTATGCTTCGTTGATTTCTTCAGGGGAGAAGTCTACTTTCACACCTCTGATGAGGAGTTTTGGGAGATCTTCTTTCTTCATCCCCTCCAAGAATACAGTCACGAACTCGGTGCGAGCTCTTGAGGGAGGCTCAATGAAGAGTTCCCAATCCAGTTCTGCTATATCCTCGCTCAGCCATCGGTCGAGATCTCCGTGTTTGGAGCTACTGAGAACTATGCCTCGTTCTGGTATGACTGTGCGATCGACTGTGGTTTGCTCAGGCTTGAGCTTTTTCCCTGTTCGGGTCCTCTTCTTGGAGATAGAAGCAACAGGTATAATGGCCTTTGGACGTGTCATGGTGTAAGGTTCTGAGTAGGAGGGATGGAGTGGGGAGTAAAGGTTGGATTTTGTGGGTTGAAGGAGAAAAGATTATGAGAATAAAATAATAGTTCTGTGTTTGTTTATAAAGGAACAAGGAGAGGATGGGAAGGTTAAAACGCTCTGTATGGTGGTGATCGTGGCTTTGCTGAGTGGTGGATATGGGGGGAGAAGAGCGTCTGCTGCACATAAATGCCTGGGGGAAAGCAACTGTCCTCTGCTCTGACGGTTTCTTCTTTTTGAAACTGCTACTCCCGCTTGATTGGAGGGATGTGACAGCACGACGTGGAGCTGTTATCCTTCCGTTGCTTCCGCCACTCGGTTTTCTCTCTCTCTTTTTTCGCATGCGGCCCATTTCAGGCCCTTGGGTTAAAAAGGGCAAGTGGATCAGCCCAATTAGAACTTGGTTTCAACATTGAGGGATCAAATTCTAAGTGTTGGTTGCTCCTTGATTTTGGGATCAGGTTGCTCAAGAGCAACCCCAAAACTAGCTTCCTGCAATGGTTAGCACATTAATTTTCTCAAACAAAGACAATAATAAAAAGAATGACGTAGAAATAAATCTGGGTTGTCTCCCAGTAGCGCTTCGTTTATAGTCTTAGCTCGACTTGTTGCTCCTTGGGTCAGACTTCAGCTGGGTCATCGAGATGAGAAGTCAGTCTCTCATGCTCCTTGATCCCTCTATTATACTTTTTGAGTCTGTGTCCATTTACCTTGAGCGTCGCTCCAGATGTTTCATGAGCAATAGTAAATACTCCATTGGGAAGTGTTTCAGTGATTGCATAAGGTTCCTCCCATCTTGATTTCAACTTTCCAGGAAATAGTTTCAATCTAGATCGATACAACAACACTTTGTCTCCAACTTCTAACTCTCTCTTGATAAGCTTTTTATCGTGCCACTTTTTCATCTGCTCCTTGTAGAGGTTGGCGTTTTCATATGCCTTGCTCTGGAATTCTTCCAGTTCAACCAACTGGAGCAACCTCTTTTCCCCAGCCATTCTGGAATTCATGTTTAGCAATGTGATGGCCCAGAATGCTTTGTGTTGAAGTTCCAGAGGCAAGTGACACGCTTTTCCAAACACCAACTTATAAGGGGAGCAGCCAATGGGCGTTCGATAAGCTGTTCGATACGCCCATAGGGAATCATCCAATTTGTTGGACCAATCTTTTCTATCTGGGTTTACGACCTTTTCCAGGATTTTTTTTATCTCCCTGTTGGACACCTCTACCTGCCCGCTGGTCTGTGGGTGGTAAGGGGTGGCAATTTTGTGCTGCACTCCATATTTCTTCAGGAGCAATTGGAATTGTTTGTTCACGAAATGTGTACCCCCGTCGCTGATAATTGCTCTAGGGGTTCCAAATCGAGTGAAAATATTCTTCTTGATGAACTTCAGCACTATCCTGGCATCATTGGTGGGGGTAGCAACAACTTCTACCCATTTCGACACATAGTCAACTGCAACAAGTATATACTTGTTTCCAAAGGAAGGTGGGAAAGGCCCCATGAAATCAATGCCCCATACATCGTTCCTCTCCGGTCCTTGATCTCAAGGTCAAATTCTTGGAGCAACAGTACCCATCTAATTAGTCTTGGCTTGGCATCCTTCTTAGCAAAGAGTTGCTTGATTGCTGAATGATCAGTGAATACTGTGACTTTGGAGCATATTAGATATGAACGAAACTTGTCACATGCAAATACAATTGCCAGCATCTCCTTCTCCGTCACTGTGTAGTTGGCTTGTGCCGGAGTAAGAGTTCTACTAGCGTAGTAAACAGTTCTGAAGACTTTGTCTTTTTGCTGTCCAAGAACTGCTCCCAAGCCAAAATCGCTGGCGTCACACATTAGTTCAAAAGGAAGACTCCAATCTGGGCTTCGAATGATGGGTGTGGACACCAGCCTTGACTTGAGCTCCAAGAAGGCTGTCAAACATTTTTCATCAAAATTGAACTTCCTATCTTGCTCCAGAAGTTCACAAAGTGGTTTGGCAATTTTGGAAAAGTCTTTAATGAAACGTCTGTAGAACCCAGCATGTCCCAAGAAGCTTCTGATCCCTTTTACTGTGGTAGGGGGAGGTAGCTTCTCAATTGCTTCCACCTTAGCCTTGTCCACCTCGAGGCCCTTGCTTGAGATTTTGTGTCCTAGCACAATGCCTTACTATGAAGTGGCATTTTTCCCAATTCAGCACTAAATTGCTCTTGACACATCTTTTCAATACCTGTTCAAGGTTATTAAGGCAAGTAGGAAAAGAGAAACCAATGACAGAAAAATCATCCATGAAAATTTCTACTGCTTCTCCTACCAAATCAGTAAACAAAGCAAACATGCATCTTTGAAAAGTTGCAGGGGCATTACATAGCCCAAAAGGCATTCTTCTGAATG